ATGTAATTTTTGTAATCGTGGCTGCAGATTGCCCTCACGTCTATCATCGTGAATAACGCGATGAGAGCCTGTGAGTACATGCCGCGCAGTCCCGGGTGGTCATCAATCGAGCCTTGGGTCACGAGCTCAACCAGGTTTTCACTTGCAACGTAGTCGAACCTAAGCCCCATAGTGATCACGATTGTGGCTGCTCGACTTGCGACTTTCCAATGAGATACCCTAGCAAGATTGACCAATTCCTCCGCCAAAGCTGCCTTCTTCTTCTCGATAAGGACGCGTTTCTTGTTGATAGCATCGCGCTTCTGATCAATCTCACCCTGGACGTTTTGACCCGGTGCAATCGTCTCGATGATGTCTCGATCGAGAACGGCCATTCTTTCCATGGCACGCCCGTATTCCATGATTTGATAGACGGCACTTGAACAGATTCTCTGCACAGATGGTTTGTCTACAGCGCTCGCGTCGATGAATGTTCGAATAAGAACGGGGGCGTACTTCCAGTGGCGCCCAACAGTTTTCGCGACACTCCCCAATAATAGGGAAAATAAGGCACCCTTGATACGAGCATGATCATTCTCCCGAATACCCTTTTGGAGAGCCTTCAAGAGAGGGGGAATCACTAGCAGACGGGATCCCCAGACAGCCTTGAGAGCCGACTCTCCTGCGCTTTGAGCGTTGCGTCGTGTTTCGGTATACAGAGATACGCAGGACTCGGCAATATCTAAAAGTAGGATCTCATCAAGCTTGGAACGGCGACGCGGGGCTGCGTTATGCCGAAGTCGTTGCAGATGATACACATTCGCCCTTCGTACGAGCAAAGGACGGGGATATTCCTTTCGCAGACCACTCATCTTATAAGGATGGATGTCGGCCGCAAGAAGTCGAGTGACTCTGTCTAGGACATGTGCAGAACGTTCAATGCCAACGTCAACAAACCAAGAGCGGTAAGCCGAGTAAAGAGCTGCGAAGCATGGAACATCGTCCTCTTGCTTGTCGGACAGGAATCTGTGCACGTCGTGCAAGACCCACCCTGCCCTTTCTCTAATGTCATGAATGGCTGTGTACAGCTTATCATTCTCAGTCAAAGGATACCCAGTAGGGTAGGTGAAAGTATCCCTGACTGCGGAATCCTCAGAGCTATCGAGAGCCGAGTCAGGATCCTCATCATCGCTTGGAGCTTCTTTTGAGTCCGCCATCTGCACATCAGTCGACCCGTCGGAAAGACCAGCCGATGTAGTTGTAGATGCAGCATTAGGGTCGAGAAGCACAGAGATACCGGAAAGGATGAGACGTAACAGCACCAGGTTCCGAGTCACCTCATCCGACCAGTCTTTACCGCTCCCATCACGCTTCACGCTGGAGGTCTCATCGGTCAGTGCTTTTAGCTGCTTCAGAGCAGACTCTGCCTGATTCTGGAAGAGTTCCACGGCAAACTCAAGTTCCTCGCGTTTCGGCACGTGCCATTTTACACTCAGTTTACAAGGATCTTGCTGATAGCCCCAGTGTTCGGGCTGTATGCCTTGAGCGACAACGTCAGGCTCGTACAGAGAGTAGTCCGATGTATATGTACCCGTTAGGTTGAGAAGAAGATGGTGTATGAAGTTGGAGATATGTACTGTGGGTATTCCCCGACATTTTTGCTGCATATAGACGGCTATATCGAAGAGCTCTTTCTTGTGAGCCAGTACGGCATCTCCGACATGAACGACGCACATGCTGAGCATGCTAACGTTCCACACCAGGCCACGGTCTCGAGGTAGGACATCTGTTCCTGTCGTTCTGGTCGACCCCGCACCATTGTCGTCAATCTCGGTACGAATGGCCTGCGTCAATACGGGGATGAAGCGCTTCAAGGCCTTTGCAGGGTTCACTTTGCAGACTGAGTTACAGATGAAGGCCATTGCATCGCGAGCTTGATGAATCACATGGTTGGAGACGAAATCGACAACCTTGGACAAGGCGATATCATAGTATTCGGGGGATAGAGACGACAGCAGTGGCATGAAGGTGGCTGGCAGGGTGTTCACAATGTTCTCTTCAGGAGAGCCGTTCCGAACTCTACTCACGTCAGGCAGGTTCTCCAGAAGTGTGAAGACACGACCCAAGAACGAAACAATGAAGTCGCCGAAGCCGCAGGTAGACGAGCGAAGAATCATCTCTTCAGTCTCATCGTCCAACTCGGTATCATAGTTCAATTTGATGTCAACACCCTCCTCCTCCATGCGTTCCATCTCGCCGGTGATCCATTGCATTGCAAGCATGTTACAATTCACATCCTCTCTCCCTTGGGTCAAGTCGGCCATGGGTATATTGTAACAAGCAGCCTGAATGAATGACAAGGAGTGCAAGGACTTCTCCAGATCATTGGCGTCAATTCCTGGTAGTGCGAGCCCCAGAAGGGTAGTCATATGGCAGCGGTAGCCCTTGGTTCTGGAGATGATGCGCGATAGAACTTGCAGAGCACGGAGAGAGGAGGTGGTCCGGTGAACTTCCACAAGTCCTTGCAGCGACGGGTAAATGCGCTGCAGAGCCCCGGGAAGGATGAGGTGGGGTTCTAGGAAGGCCAGGTTCTGCAGCGTAGACAAAGAGAAGCTCATGGCCGTGCCACTTTTGGCATAAATGCCCATGAATATCACGTCGCGCAGGCACAGCACGAAGCGGCGTTTGAGAGGCTCAGTCAACCTGCGCTCCGGTGGGACCTCCATCTCGCCAGTTTGCTCGCGGTTCCAACGCATCACAAAGAAATCTGCCAGGTAGTACACCAACTGCGACAAGGTCTTTGTCCAGCCGCCAGAGTTAGACGGATGGAAGAAAGTCTCTACAGCCTGAACAAGGCCTTCGAGCTGGGTCAGGATCGACTCCTGAGCATCGAGGCATGCTGGTGACAGCGACATCACAATCCACCTAGCAATGTGATGTGCGACCGGATGCTTTCGTGTATCACGGTCAAGCATGATACCCAACCCGGAAGAAATATCAACAAGAGCACTATAGGGAGAGGTTGACTGTCCCACCGGGATCTCTAGTAGTCGCAAAATAGCGGTGAAAATGAGCGAGGATTGATCCGGTGTAAAAATGCCGTGCTCCGAGAAGGGTATATGGCTGGCTGGTAGGGAATCCCGAGCAAGGCGAGAAAGGTAGTCCAAGAAAGTAATATCGAACGTTTTCGACCGACTAACCAGCGACCATAAATGGAAGTAGGTTGGCATATAGTGCTGAGGAAGCAGATCCTCTCTTGACTCGGGCGGGGGAGACGTAGGCAACATCAGGTTGATCAAGCCGACGACAACGAAGGCACCTTCTGAGAAGGAAGTCGTATAGTGAGGGAGGAACTCTTCGAGCATCGCCGGCAGTTCACATGGATCAATGTAAAGCTGAACGAAAGCACAGAGCTTGGTCAAAGTCTTGATGTTCCGTTTCAGATTCGATGAATGCACCAAGCCCGACTCGGTCGGCAGAACAAAGGATTTCAGCTCTCTATACAAAGGCTTCCAGTCCAACGTTAGATCCTTGACGGGTCTCAGGTAGTGCTTGCGCCTGCGAATGTCATTAGTGATGCGTGTGTGAAAGCCTTGGAACAAGGGTGCATACTTGGTAAGCAGCATGAACATGCTCGCAAATCGTTCCGCAACATTGGGATCAATTCCCGGGGCGAGGGAGAGTTCATAGTACAGTTTCACAAGATTGACCCGTTGCGTCCGAGTAGGGTCGAACTTTAGTGACAGCCACCCTCTGAGCTCTCTTGTCCAGTGCACCGCGCCGGGACTGAAATCTCCAGCTTCCACTGCTATGTACAGTTGTCGGAGGATCTCGCGAAAGTTTTTATCCCGCTCTGGTTCGTCCTCGAGCGAATATGGTAGATACTTGAAGTAAGGGTATGTACGTGGGCGGACTCGCGCCTTAGGCTCACCGTCCCCATTCATGACCGCAGGCTCACCTCCTGGAGAGGTGGCTCGAGACAGGTGATGTGTATTGTGAAAGTTTTCGGATGTCAGGATGGGCTTAGAGCCTGAGTGGTCCATTGCTGTATAGAATATCGAGCGTTTATGTTCTCGTAGAGGATAATGAGGATAACGAGGATGGTGATGGTTCAGATGAGGTCGGGTTCTAGGGATTCGAGCTTGTTAGCTAGGCTTGATCGTAAACTTCAACCACGGAGAAGTTGAAGAGAGATTGAAGATTCGCACATTACACATGGAGGTCGCGATTTAATGCTCAGGTGCAAGAATCGATGCCCAAACAACGACCTGCTGTCGGTTTGTTTCGCATGTGCGTTTTAGGTGTGCTCCGCTAGTAAGGCGATTGGAAACCACGAGCTCCAGAATCGAAACAAAGAACGAGCTTAAAATGTACAGGATGTTAAGGGAGAAGACTCTGAAGCCCAATGATTGTGAGCACGAGCTTTGTCTGTGAGCGAGGAGCTTCGAATCCAAGGATGGATAAAAGATGGTAATAGTGTGGGTTGTGTAGGATATCTTGAAGCTCACGCGTAGCAGACCGAAGTTGGAGGTATCATTGAGTCGGGTCTGGGTCAGTTTTGTCAGATCGGTGATGACATAATTCCACATAACGTAACGGCCGGCAGCCTAACGATGGGTCCGACTCCAGAGCGACCTACCACCAAATAGAACCCCAATTAAGACTCCGTGCACCACCGCTCAGCTAGGATCGGTGGGCTAAAGCAAAAGGTTAAATGAAAGGTGAGAAAAAAAGGCGGGGGATTTGGGGTGGCAATTTAACCAGTAGTAATGCTGTTGTCAGACAGGCATCCTTCCCTGCCCAAAGGATTTTCCCTCAACTCCATCACGTTTACAGAATACATTATTTATACAGTGCTAAAATCTTTTCCTTGATTTTCTTCTTATTCTTGTGTTCTTCTCATTTGACAATGATTCGTATACAAAGTTTGACAGCTTTATATGATCGGCCGCGGAATTAGAAAATGCATTTATTTAGAATGTGGTGGCTTGGAAGCGTTCTTCTTAGCTTGGATCGCTACCTCAGGCTGGTGGTAAAAATGATCCAAATAATGTGGCCTGCACCAAAGCATATGCCACCATGCCCTGCACCGCACTTGTGAACGTACGGCTGTGTTGAATTGAAGGAGGGATTTGGCCCCAATTCCCAGAAACCAAGTACGCAAGGTACCAATACCACAGTGGGTAACCGGAAGCTATGCGATTGATGATCTGGACGTGATAGCTGGTGAGGGCCAGTAAAGCCAAGATTCCCTGAGGCGCAGCCAGTCGTAGGAGCAATGAGGCGGTGGTAGCTGACGATGAAGCGTGATCAATCCCACTGAGAGCCCTTGGATAAATAAAAGGGACAGCCATGTCAAGTGCCCAGAAAGACGAGCGAAAGAGTATAGCCAGCATGGGCATCGCTAGAACAAATAGTGGAAGGTTCGAGAGACTCCAATACTGAAGGAAACCCACATTCCTGTTCCTGTGATTAGTGTACGTGGTGCAGCTCAGAGCTAGGAAATCACATACCAATAATGGCTTTGCACCCAACCATATATACTCGGAACATACCATTGGCACCATGGCCGGGAATTAGGGTCATCCCCACAGTATGCTGTGTGAGCGATATACTGAGGGAGAATGAGCCCCAGAGCAATGATACAACCGCTCACGATCGCAACCAGCAGGTGCGCACAGGCGTTCAATGACAAACTCTGTGACACGACCCGTCGAAGCTGGAGGAAAGCGTCATAGGCGAACAATATCCCGCTTAAGATACCATTGCTGCGAACAGTCGTTGCTGCAGAGAACAGGACAGCGGACAAAAGCGTTTTGAAATCGCCGGACAGACGCTTGCCATTCTTGTTATCCAAGTAAGCGGAAGAGTAGAGATAGAAACCAGTTATGTTCAGGAACGAGAACAGTGACTCTCCATATGGAGCCGAAAGAAATGCTCCGGCGGGGCAGATTATATGTAAAGCGGAGGACAGCAGGCAGATGAGTCGTTGCGTGGTACTGTCGTTTCCAAACACATTAACGGACAGTCTATAGAGCGCAAGAACGGAGAGGTAGTGTGCGACGTGAGAGAGTAGGATCGCCTCAATCGCTATTATAACCCCTCCTCCCAAGCCGGTGAGGGTTTGCAGAACTACATCGGCAATTAGTGGCCACCAGTGGTTTGCTTAAAGAAAAGAAGCTTTTTTTACCGGAAGTCAGGTAAGCTAAGGCTCGAGTGTAGCCATAGCCAAATGCCCACTCTTGCTCGAAGACATACCCCTGCTGAGCTATATGCAAGAAGTAGATAGAGTCCCACCGGACGAACTTTCGTGGAACGGTGAGAAGTAGATCTTCAATGTCCTCTGATATGATATCAGAGCTGTTGGTATCGTGGTACTCATAAAGATGGCTTGTGGAGGTATCGTAGCCCAGTCCTGGGCACGAGACGATGACCAGGAATATCAGCACCTTCCATAGACAGAAAGCGATTGTCAAGCCTCTAATAGGACGGGCGGGATCCAGAATGCTGGGGCGATTCGCCGCTCGCGAGCCTGCGTTAGTTGATGAACTCATATTATCCGTAGGCATCAGCATATCCAAACTATGCATGCACCCCTTGGTCTTCCCTATCCACGCGATGTTCTATGTGCCTCTCTAGATGGCTGTCATTGTGGCCTCGATCGAGGATAACGCGATGAATCCTGTGTGATGGTCTAACGCAGGACTTCACACTACCTTCTAATCATGAGATGATGGCAAGTAACCGAGGTAAGTGGAGGTGGTAGGTAAGTATGTATTAGTTATGAAGAAGTGAACATGGAGGGATGATTAAAGACGCGTTGAGCCAAGCCGTGGCTAAACGGATCGGAAAGTTCGGCAAGCATAGCCGTGTCTTATTCAGCATATGGCGGTGCACAAATACGTAATGCCTTGCATCCTGATGGCGAGGGTGGCGTCCCTTTCCATCGCAGTGATATGAGTACGATCTAGTGTAGTAATTTAGTAGTTTACTGATACATAGTAGTACATACGTAGTACTGAGTAGTACCTCCAAGAAATAGACAAGCGGGGATGGGGTTTATGCCAATCTACTCGTCAGACTACAGTACATGGTGTGTACTAAGTATCTTATCCATTCATGATAATGATGATGTCAGAGGACAAGGTTCTCCGGATCGCGGAGAAAGTTTTTTGAAAGTGAGAACTCCCTCCTCCAATGGATCCTCTCCTCGGAGGCTCAGACAACTTGGAAGTCAGCCCTACCGGATCAACTGGGTCAACCCTCTCATCTGGGGTGTTCTGTTGTTCGGATCTCCGGTAACGCAAGCAGCACGTCAAGGGCATCCTCGATTGGGAAGGTCAACGGCCATACCTACCTAGGTACTCATCCAACATGAGTCAACCTGAATCATTACGTTGAAATTAAAGCAAGCATGTTTTGAAGGTCATTGGATGCAGAAACTTTTCCGTGCCAATGCCATAGGTTCTCATGACGAGGAGCTCAATGCATGATATACTCAGCCAGTATTCGATACACCACTTTGTAAATGTGCATGCACTACTGTACCTCTGTTTCAATTTCTGCTGGACATATCGCCCTTCTGCAACCTCTGTTCAAGATCCTCCGACCTGAGCTCAAGCCCCACTGTTTGATCACGCGGAATGCTTGTTGTACCGACCAGTGGCCACCTCAATCCATTGAAAAGGGATACGATGGGCCCATCTGTCGCCGTGAATTTTGGAGTGATACTCGAGGAGGTTGGCTCGGGTTGCCCCGTGGACTGACTGCTACAAGATAGCTGATCATCAGAAGCTATCTATCTATACTCACTCAGGTACTGGCCAGTCAATTGCTTGGACAGACCGACTTTCCGGCCAGATCCACGAGACTGCACAGTAAAATTTGCGCGAAATAAAGAAATTCGCCATCGAAGTTTCCGCTAGGAAGGAGACTAGACCCTCATTGTGGTTAAGTGCAACGCCAAGCACTGTGGCCCAGCCAAGAAAACGAACTCGGTCAGAGTCGGTTGGCAGTTGGCATTTGGCACTGTGGCAGGCGGGCAGCTAATTTTCTCCCACGAGTTTTCTCGAGTAGTCTAGTAGTTATGCGGGATTACAATGAGTCAGTTAAAATGACCAACTATCCAAACTTTGCAATCCTTCAGGTAATTAGTCAAATGTTATCCAGATTTGTCATAAGATATCAGTGGGGACACTCAGGAAGAGTTTTAAGAGTGAGTTACTCTAATTGTATGGTATCATCTAGGTGATTCCTGGCAATGATCTGTCAGCCGGGCTCATCGTCGAAACCGAGAAACAGTACGTTAAACAGGCAAATTCAGCCTTATGCTTCTAGGGCAGTCGAATTCTGACATAAACCATGGATAGTTGCGAGGCCGAGGCTCCGAAGCAGAAGACGGCAGGTCGGCGTTTCCGGCTTCCGTGACGGAGAAGGTCTTGCAAAATCCGTTCTTCCGCCCAGAGTCACGGACGACGGAAGTTGCTGCACCTCCTCCACCTCCGAACGCCAGCGGAGTTATTCAGTTGTTTAGTACCTAGTAGTTATTTGTCTGTACGTCCTGATCTACTTAGTTACTGTACAGTACTGTAGTCATCTGCTAGACTGCTAACTAACTGACAACTGACAACTGACAACTGACCACTGACTACTCTGTACTGTACATACCTTAAACCTCCCTGCCCCTCCTTGTGTCTTCGCCCCATGCATAACTCATTGTGCCCCATAGCTACCGGAGGAAGGGCTCCGTAACGGGCTGAAATGTTGAAAAATTGATACGAGCCGTCTACCAAGTTCAGAGGGATAGTGGTTAAGTGTGGGTGCCGAAGATCGCCGTCTAGTCTGGTCGCTTCACAGCTCCATAAATGCAGCAGTATGATTTGTTCCTTGAACCTAAAAATCATCCTGATAGATCGGGGAAAACTGAATAAATCCAGTCAACTGGATCCATGATTAATGATCATTACTTTGGCTCGTTGTTGGCCCATCATCAAATTTCTTTTTTCTTTTTTTTTCTCTCTTTTTTCCCCCCCTTCTCTGAGGTTCCCCCCTCATGAGACTTCTATGATACTTATATTAATTACCGAATGACACTGACCCTTTCCTTTAACCTCCGGTGCTTCATCCTGACTACTGACTGACCACTTCCTTCCACTATTGATCCACGATCTCCTTCGTCTGACATGCAGCAGTCATCCAGGTGGACAATTCTAGTGGGATCTCATTCTAACTATTAAGGCCGACCGTCCCTTGCCCGAGCAAACGAAAGGCTGAATTAGCAAAAAGGCTGAAGGCTGAAAAGCTTCCCCCCCCATCACTACGCAGCAGCAGCAGCAGCAGCACTACGCAGCACTACTACGTATACTTGACCATCCATCCTTACACCCGTATTTCTTCATTCTCCTCCCTCCTCTTCCTCCTTATACTTGTTACCCATACCCACTCTCTCGCCCACTCTCATCCTTTGCCTCCTTCGTCCCACGATCTATAGATTTCTCCACGTTTGTCCGACCTGAACTTTTCCGGGACTCTTCGTTTCTCCTCCTATTCTTTGATTCTCTCCCCTCTCTCATTTCTGACCTCACTCCTTTCCTTTCCTTTCCCCTTTCCCCACCCGATTTCACAGCCTCCGCCTCAGCCTCGCTTGCTACCTACCGAGCTGTTCATTGTCGTGCAGGCCACGGCCAACAATCATCACTCTCTTATCCTCATTCTCATTCTCATTCAGCTCTTTGCTGATGCACTTTCCTTTCTCCATTTCCTATCATCTCGCCATTTTCGATTTTGAATTGAACGAAGCTTCGACATTTAGCTCTTAACGAGAACAACCTATTGTCCGCGACCACCCAACTATAAGCGCGCTTCCACCTCTGTCGCCGTACTACTACTGGTCAATGGTAGTCCGGAGCACCGATAGGCGTGGTTGGAGCCCAGAAAAGAAATGCTATTCAACCTTGGATTGACCGCGGATGCAGCAGCAGCTCACGACAGCGACGTTCTTGGTCCCCAATCTGATCTCCAGACCTCGTCGCGCCATTCCTCGCCGCCTGTATCCTTCGCGACGCTACCAACCTGGGGTCTGGGAAGCTTGTACGGCCGGCGCAAAGTGACAGAAACAGAAAAGCCGCCGCTGCACGAACAACCACGTGCAATGTCGAGGCCACCTGCAGTAGACCAGATATTATTGTCGAGCGATGACGAGCATTCGACCGTCGGGCCGACTCTAGCTTCCTCGAGGATCGCTCGCTCATATTCGACCAGGAAACCATCGTCGCGACCTAAAACGTCATACCAACTAGCGCATCCCGCATCCCACGCACGTCACAGGCGACTGAAACTCCGACCCAAGCTCCTCTTACAGCTCCAACAGGTGTCACAAACCCCGCGTCCCTTACCCATTTTGGACGTCCTCCCGTCGAGTGTGTTTCTGCCTAGACTGGCCCGCAAATTCCCAACCATCTTTCGCGGCAAAAAAGGGCTTGGTCCCAACGACCTTATCGTCGTCACCGGCGATCGCTATGAACAGAGCCAAGGCGATTTTGCCGACAGGCATCTGAGCTCCGATGAAGAAAACGGAGAGCACCGTGAAGTTGTCGCAACGATATGCCAGCTGTTGACGGATGATGCACTATCGAAAGGCAAAGCGGAGATCTGCCTTAGTTATGGACCAGTTTGGGAGGCGACACCTCTGGCCAATGGCTCCTACGAGTTCGTGGCCCAGACCGACGAAGGTATCCAGGTCCTGCGATGGGTGCTGCGGGGAAGCAAGAACCGTCGTGTATCGGCACCCCCAGATTTTGGCCTGCAGGAAGACAGCAAGCGCTTCACATTCAGCGTGATCAACCCCAACACCCGCCGTCACCCTGTTCTCGCCACGATGACCCGGAACCATTTGGAGATATTCCACGAGTACTCAATACCGGCCACCTCGGGGATCGCTTCCCCTACTTCTGCCATGTCGGTGATCAGCGACCTCTCGGAGATGGACGAGCCATTGAGCGGAAGGATGCCTGTTGACGACGACCTACGCATGTTGATTATTGTTACTAGCTTCTGGGTGGCCTTCCGAGAGGGCTGGTCGCATACCTTCAGCTACAACGACGCCGCTTCGACGCTCAACCCCAGATCCCGCTGTCCGTCACGACAGAGCTCCCCGACAGCCGTTAGGGCTGAAACCGATCGGTCCTTGGAAGAAGAGGTCAGCAATCCGACAGGCCCCGCCGCCACGAACCGCAGACAACACCGCATGTCCACATCCAGCTGCATGTCATCACCCCCCAACACAATTTCCGACCAATCAACGCTCGGGCGTCTATCGAGACGTTCCAACTCAACCGGAGCAGCATTCATTGAGCGGACCAACCGACGTGCCTCTGGCACCCTCGGCCGCCTCAACCGCCATAGCACGCTTTCCAGCACTCGTGAGCCCGTCCATGACGCGGATACCAACGCTACGCCCACCCCGGCTCGACAAGATTCGAGCACACGCAGACGCTGGTCCCACCGGAGAAAGTCCGAGGCGCAGGTCTCGAAGCAAGCGCCAGACAAGGATATCGACCGGTCGCAAAGTACAAGAAACCCTCGCCCGCAGCCCCGACAACAACTATTACTACAGCCGGACCGAGCAAACGGGAATGCGTCTCCATCGAACACCAAATCCGTCGAACCGACTCCACCCAAGGGCAAACGTCGACATCGACTCAGCAGTCTATTCGACTTCATCATCCGCAAAAGTACCCATTCACATTGAAATACATCCGTCCCACGACAGAGAAACAGAAGCCTGGTGCTCCTGATATGACCTCATTGACCACACACCTCCACTCCCATCCCCTTGTCCCACCTGGTGTTGGCCATGTTAGCCAGAAAAACCCAGTACAGCGAGGCGCCATCTTCAAATCCCATACCTTTCACCTCCCTCTTGCAGAGGTTGAGCAATAACCCTATACCTCTTTTTCCTTGTTCTATGTCATAATATCATCGACCATTGCAGAATATTGTCTTCGTAACATAAGAGCCAGGAGCTGGAGCGTTACTGTCGATAACATTTATTTTTTATGGGACCAAGCTAACCTTGTTTATTGTTCTTGGTCCCTGTACGATTGTCTGATATCTTGATATCTTATTTGTGTGACGGATTTCCATCCGTTCAAACCCTATCTATCTCAGCTCACTTTAGCCTTGCCCTTGTGCGAATGAATACCACGATTATCAATGGCATATACTTATATCATATTCGTCCTGATTGCCTCACCTCCGGTAGTGATAGTCTCACGCGATGTACATGGCGACGTAATAATTTAAGGTTGAATTTATAGGATAGTATCATAGTCTAGTTCGGTGGGCTTGTGTCCCTCGCGCAGGAAGGTTGCAAAGTTGGAGCTTTCATTCAGGAATTATCTCTATTGACAGAACCAAAGCACTACACCAAATCTAGCGCGCCTCGAAATCACCGCTCCAAGCTCGACACTGCCCGAGGGACATACGGTTCTTCCAGATACTTGATCTCCTCGGCGGTCAACTGCACCTTGATGGCCGCAACGGCCTCGTCGATGCGCTCCTTGCTGCTGAGGCCCAGGATCGGGTTCTCCTTCGGGTGGCTCAGGGACCAGGCGATGGCGATCTGCGCCATGCTCACGCCCTTCTTCTGGGCGAGCTCCTCGACGCGGTCCACGATCGCCTTGTCGGCCTCCGTCTCGCGGCTGCGGATCAGCATCTTGAGGGCGCCGTCGGTCGACTCGCGCACCGTCGAGCGCGAGCCCCAGGGCCGCGCCAGCACGCCCCGCGCCATGGGCGACCAGGGGATCAGGCCCACGCCCGCGTCCTGACAGTAGGGGATCATCTCTCGCTCTTCCTCGCGAGCCAGCAGGTTGTGGAAGTTCTGCATGGAGATGAACTGATGCCAGCCGTTGCGGGCGGCGATGTTCTGCAGGGTCTGGAATTCCCAGGCGGCCATCTTGATGATAAAACGTTAGTATAAGGGTGTGTTAAGCATGGAGAAAATCATTGCACAGTGTGTTTGCTTGTTTTTATGGGCGTGCTTACCGTACTGGCACCGATATATCTCACTTTCCCACTCTCGACCACATCGTTGAGCGCCCGCATGATCTCCTCGCGGGGCGTGTCGCGATCCAGCCGGTGGATCTGCAGCACATCGATATAGGTGCCCAGTCTCTGGACACTGGCGTCCACAGCATCGAAAATGTGCTTGCGAGACAGACCTACGCGGTTGACGAATCCGGCGTCGTTCCGGCCGCAGGCGGAGATGGGAGGCATGCCCCCTTCCTCGTCCACGCCGAAAAAGCACTTGGTCATAATAACGACCCGGTCGCGCGGGATGTTGAATTGCTTCAGCGCCTTGCCGATGATCTCCTCCGAGCGACCGTGGGAATAGACGTCGGCCTGATCTGGCTGTCAGCTGGGTGATCGGAAATCCCATCAGAATGCGGAGGGTTTAGGGAAATACCGTATCCCAAGTGTTGATTCCGCACTTGTAGGCGTGCTCAATCAAGGGGAGGGCTTCCTCCTCATCCAGTACCCAGTCCTGCCATTGTCTGGTGCCGTAGGACATGGTACCCAGGATGATCTTGGAGATCTTGAGGCCGGAGTTGCCAAGACTGCATTGTTCATGTTATCAGCAGGGGAAATGTGCTTCAAATCAAGAGTCTACGGTGACGGTATACCGAACATATTCCATATCAGAAGCCATGATGTACTGTGGTTGAGCAGTTGGTTCTAGTAGATGGCGGTTAGCACCGGAACAGGCGGATATCTCGTTGAAGCTGCACAGGCACCTACACAAGTGATTAAAAACGATACTTTCAGCGGAGATGCTCTTGAAAGTGACAAGAGATAGAGATGGGAGACCAGAGGAGAAGAACATGAATCATAGTGGGGACCGCGGAGGGGGTTTCTAGTCAATCGGGTATAGTCCGGAATAGGAGCTCTGAGCTCGTACTCCGCGACACTCGTATCCTCTCGCCTCTCTCCTCTCTCCATTCCGATCTGCCGAAACCCTGAAGCGGCGATGTTCTTCAGCCGACTTATTGCCGGCGACTCCCTCGGGCTTGGCAGAGGCTTGGGGCATGTCGGAAATGCGTCTCGGGACGTCTTTGTAGATCGCGGAGAGAATCAAGTAGATCGTTGATGCTAGTAAAAGAAGTTGAAGAAGAAAAAAGAAAGAAGGTAGAATCCCGTGACCTCCTCTTCCTCCTTCCCTGTTAGCTCCATCTTCTCTCCTTCTTCCTCTTCCTCTTCCTCTTCCTCATCTTCATCTCTCTTTCTCTCCCTTTTGCAAACACCTCCCACCCCAATTTGTCATGCTTGATTGCCTTCGAGTTTCTCCTCGGGCATGTCTTGTTTGTCCGCTCCAGGAATGTCTGCGCGCAACAACAGATACCTATCCTCACCGTAGCAAGAGCTTTTCTGTTTGCTAAAAGGCTCCTCGCCACCCTGAGAAAAAGCAATGAACCACTTTGACAGCCGCCAAAGAAAAGCTACGAGCGGCTGGCGCTGCTGACGTGGTAGCTTGCCCCGGACTTCCAGGTCATAGAGCCCTCCGAGAGGATACCGACGAGACCAGTCACCACTTGTGCTAAGAACCATGACTTACGATATTGTGTAGCCCTCCGCACGTGGAGTGGGTGGTGACACAGCCCACTGCCTTGCACAGCAAATCTGAAGGTCGTGTCAGTGCTCGGGATGACCAAGAGGCTGGCTGAAATCCAGGCCGTCAACGCCAGCTGTCACTGGAACAATTGCCACGCTGCCACAGCAGGACCAACACGACGAACGGTTCGTCCTAAATGATCCATGATCATGCGCAAGCTGGGCCTGAATGCAGCGGACTCAGCTGCTCATTAGTTAAACCCAACGGGTTCCTCAGCCAGCGTCTGCAGAGCATCCTGCAGGGAACGCCTTACCCCTGTCGTGTTGTGCATATCCCCGCTCCGCCTCGGTCACTGCTCCGGAGAATGCGAACCGCAGCCTAATCACCGAGTATCGAGAAATTCGCACTTTGGCTTGGTCTCAGTGAAGCTGAGAAGTGAATGGCAATCTTGCTCACATCGACCGGGACAGACTTACGCCGTAGTATTGCGTGCCACCGCAAAAGGTCATCTTCCATACGTGCTTGTGTACAATCCAGCCTGCATTTCACCATGCCATTAATTGTGTCTGTCGAGGTTTGTTTCTACTCAACACCATGCTAGTTCCATGCCCGTTCATCACATTAAGCATTGATAGCTATGGATAAGCCACTTCATCGATATTTGTGCCGTTGGCCGGCTGCATTGAAGTAGAACTTATTTACCTCATGAACTATTCTCTCGCTGCCCAGTCTCATACGAGGCGCAGATGCCAAACAGGTGGAGGCCTTGTAGAGTCAGCAGTTGCAGCTTTGCAAGTGTCAAACACACACCTCATTCGTATGCAAACAGAGTTCTCCACGAATGATCTTCAATAGTGACTAGTGATTGGATTTATGGTCAACATACACACCAACCGTCAATGCTCTTCGTGCCTGCCAATTACCGAATGAAAAGCGTATAGATGCCTGGACGCAATCGTGTTCCATGTCTGGTCAGCTTTGTGGCTAGCTGGAGAACGCGCAATGTAAAGCTAACGTGCTAGGAGAAGCAGGCCTTCAAAGAGTGTGAATTTGTGCCTAACACCGCGACTTACGAGTTTGCAACATGAAGCTGCAGTGTGAAAGCCGCGCAGATAGCAGTTTGTAGCAACTCGTCTCTGCCAAAACCATTGGACTCAAAATGTGAATCGCTTCGAGGTGCGACACCATGTCACGAATCGACCATCCTCCTGGCATTCCGGTCAAGACCAGGACTTGAAAACTATCTCCAGTGTTCTGATCACCTCAAATGTCTATATAAGGGACGAACATTGCCCTCTCCAGACGTCTTTCATCATCAGCACCACCATCCAACCTTCAGAACAACAAGCTCTTCCTACTCATTACCTCAGCACTAAACCGGAGTCCCAACTCAATCAAGCAAGATGGCCACCGCAGTAACCCGCTCTACTCCTGCTCCTGCACCCGCGATGATGGCTCTCCAAGCCCCTCAGCTCGGCCTCGCCGACGACGAGCTTCTGGCCCTCTTCCGCCGCGTCACGATCAGTGGCTCCGCGGGCCACGACGTCTCAGAGACCCAGATCAAGAAGGCCTTCGAGCAGGAGGTCAGCCGGCCCCTGGGCCGTCAGGTGCTGGAGGCCTCGCTGCGGGACGCGCACGAGTGCTCCTGCTACCACTGGAACTACCACGACCGGATACGGGGCAAGGTCGACATCAGCCGGGTCGACTTGAGCTTCGATCTGACCTCCCAGAGCATGGGGCAGTCGGTCCGGGGCGAGGTGGCGGGGTTCTTCCGGGTGAACCATGCTTACATCAAGTGAGTACCACCAGCATTGATTCTCTTGTGCAATGGACAGGCCCCGTCACATTTGTACTGTCTTGAGAATCTGAACATCACGTCTCACAATGATTAGCGCAACCGTCTACTATGACGACCAGCAAACCCTTCAGGGAAACCAGAGCATCAAGGTCTACATGGATGCGAACGTGAGTATAAACCATACACATCAGGGAGAGAACTTTTGCTGACAGCCGACTGACACAGAAATTCATCATCGACTTCTACCCCACCGACCAGGCGGAGAAGCCGATTGCCCGTATCGTGCAGACCAACTCTTCCTTCACCTTCCAGGGGACTTGCACTGGCGATTCCACCTGGTACACCAACTAGACTGGTGCTGTTGAGCTGTGTGGCAGACAGCCATGATGTCGAGGGGAAGATGGGTCGCAGCCTGCGGATCGAGACATGAAGAATGGTTTAGCGCTTTATTTGCTTTTCTGCGTCTTTCGCGTTGATTGTTCTGCGGTAGCTAGATAGTTTGCGTTTGATTTGATGATTATGCATGATTTATGATTCGGCGAGTGACCGTAAATGAACTCTATAACAGTAAAAGTGGTATCTCAAAGCATCCGACCTAGATAACGCCAAAACAGCCCCAATTTAAGGTAACGAACTCCCATCTATATCCAACAAAGGCATCTCCTTCTCCTCGCCCATCAACTGCCTCTCCCAAAGCCCAAAATACCTCCCCCGCTCCTTCAATAACCCCTCATGCGTCCCCCTCTCCACAATCCTCCCCTCATGCAACACCACGATCAAATCCGCCCGCACCACCGTCGAAAGCCGATGCGCAATCACAAACGTCGTGCGCTTCCTCCTCCTCATCCCCATCCCCTCCCCTCCATACTCACTCCCACTGTCCCCCGCAGTGTGCGAACCAAACAAAGCCCGCTGCACCACCCACTCCGTCTCGGTATCCACCGCACTCGTCGCCTCATCCAGCACTAGTACAGCTGGATCCTTCAGGAGCACCCTCGCGATCGCCAACTGCTGCACCTCCCCGCCGGACAGCTTGACCCCCTGCTCCCCGACCTTGGTGGCATAGCCCTTCGGGAAGGAGAGGATCTTCTCGTGGATGGCGGCGCTGCGACACGCGGCGTGGATCTCGGCCGCACTCGCGGAAGGCCGCGCGTACCGGAGGTTGTCGAGGATGGAGATGTTGAAGAGCAGAGGGTTCTGGGGGACGACGCCTATGGTTTGCCGGAGAGAGGATTGCGTGAGGGAGCGGATGTCGTGGGCGTCGAGGGTGATGGTACCCGCTGTGGGTGTGTGGGGCAGGTCGTAGGCGCGCAGGAGGAGTTTCGTGAGGCTGGATTTGCCGGCGCCGGTGGCGCCGACGAGGGCGATGGTTTGGCCCGGGGACGCGGTGAGGGTTATGTTCTGCAGGGTGGGGAGGTGGTGTTTGTCGGGGACGTAGGAGAAGGTGACGTTGTTGAACTCGATGCGGCCTTCGACGGTCGACGGGTCGAGGGCGAGGGCGTCCGGCGCGTCGGTGACGGTGGGGTTGGTGCGCAGGAGATCGAGGAGCCGCTCGGCGCCGACGAGCTCCGCCACCAGCCACCGGTAGTCCTTGGACAGGTACTTGATGGGCCAGATCAGCGAGTCCCAGTACTGCACCAGGAACACGAAGTCGCCGGGCGAGGCGCGGCCGGCCTGCACCTCGCGCGCGACCAGGGTCGCTAGCAGGGCGAAGGTCGCCGGGAAGAAGGCCTCCGTCAGCGCGGTGGTGTAGGCGTCGCGCTGCGACCAGGCGCGCGTGGCCTGCAGATGGCGGTCGACGGCGGCCCCGAAGCGCGCCCGCTCGTGGTCGAACATGTTGAAGATGAAGACCGTCGGCCAGCCTTGGATGGCCTGGTGCAGGACGCGCGCCTCGGCGCGCTCGGCGCGGGTCTGTCGCCGCCGGTTGGCGACGTTCCAGTCGGCGGTGATGACTTCGACGGTCGTGAAGGCCAGCGTCGCGATGAGCATGCTCAGCGCCGCGGTGGAGGTGAACTTGCGGTACAGGAAGACGAAGGCCACGCCCGTGTCGAGGATGGCGGGCGCGATCTCGAGCAGCGCCACCTCGACGAGGTTGGTCAGCGCCTCGCCTTGCTCCATCGCTTTCATCACCTCGGCTGAGTCGCGGTCCGAGTGGAAGTCCATGCCTAGGTCCATGACGTGGCCGAACGCCGTGGTTGTTAGGTGGCGGTAGGAGAACTGCTTGATCGGGATCTTCGCGAGGGAGAGGATCATCTCTACGCCCGACTGGCCGTGCAGGAGGTTGAGCGCGATATAGATGCCCAGCTCCGTGGACGGCGACTCCCGGGTGAAGAGCTTGTCCGCGACAATGCCCAGCTGGCGCGGCACCAGGACGTTCAGCACGCGGTCGGCGATGAGGCAGAGGACGCAGACGAGGAGGCAGGCCTGCACCTTGCGATCCTTCCCGGGGATCAGGAACGGGATGAAGACCTGGAAGTTTTGGATGTATGCTATCCAGCTGCCGGTCTTGCGGAACTGGCTGGTGCGAGAATCGTCGGACTCGTCCTCGTCGGAGGAGGTCTCTGAATCGCTTGCGTCTTCACTGCAGGAAGATTCGATGCCATCTGTCCGTGTGGTGCCGTAGGAGATCGGACTGTGTGCGGAATGGCCATTGGCTTCGCCCAGACACGGTATCATATCCTCCTCTTCCTCGCTCTTGAGGTGAGCTCGTTGTAAAAGGGCGTGGAATAGACAGTTCGCAAGCACGCCGCTAACAAAGAGTAATCGGACGGAATCCAGGACGATCAGTGTTCTGTGCACTGCTGGGCGATCCAGATGGATGGCATCGAGAACCAGACCAGGAATGCCAAAGAGGAGGGCAATTACGCTGAGACCAGTAGCTTCTGCGACGAGGATATCCTTGCGGAGGCAGGTCGTAGCCCATGCCAGGGCAGTGATGACTGCTGCGAAGATATGGTCGGGAGTTAGATCAAGTCCGTGATGCTGTCGGGAGATAATGATCACTTCAGAGATGTAAGAAGCCGATATGCACTGGAATATGATCCCCCGAAGAGCTGTTTTGCGCAGGACTGAAGGCTTGAGGTGCGTGTTGGAGCTGTAATGGAGGAGAAAAGATGCAAAGACAAACAGCAGAGTGACGGTTGTGGTCACCACGTGCAGTGGTTGGGCGACTCTCTCGAGTGCCATTATTGGGAAGTATAGCGCTGATGCTGACCATGATAGTGCGGCCCAAGAGTCTTTAAAAATAGAAGAACAGTATTTTCATAGATGGGTGTACTGTGCAGTATATCCTTGGTCTGAGATACTCAGACTCACCATGAGTCACGTCGAGTCAGAAGGAGATGAGGCTGTTGCAAGTGAATATTGTTGCTGCCTAGAATGTCCATGTAACAGTAAGAATATTCTTCTCTAATATTATCTACTCCCCGGACTTTTGATCATAGACAAAGTGCCTAGAACATCGTGGCATACTGTATCATGCCATACATATATCGTGCCATAGACTCATGAAACTTTTGATACCCCCTTCCCCATAAATATACAAAACGCTAATACACAGCAAGAAGTGAGTGCGACTTTTAGGAAGCACCACCACGACCACCAACATTAGCCAGGGCCTTCTTCTGGTCCTCCGTCAACTGAGCCGTTGGCAGCGGGCGGGCGCCAGCAGCCGTGGGCGGAGGAAGGAAGCCGGTAGCAACGAGGTACGCCGCATACAAACCGACCAATTCCTCGGTGACACCAGCGCCAGCGGAGGCATCAATGCCGGACCAGGCGGCGTCGGCGCGCAAGGAGGCGGCAGCATTGACGTCGTCGAGTTCAGGAGCCTTGGTGTTGGACGGGAGGTCGGAGGTGACGAAATGGTAGAGAGGCATCCTGAGGCAATATTAGTAAGTGTTCGGGTGCAAAGCTTCAAGAAAAGAGAAGGGGATAGGTAATGACTTACAATGCGTGCTGAGACTCGGGATCATCGTGCTGGCCGTCATTGACGTACTGCTCCAAAGCCTTAGACCAGGGAACGTAATCGATCTGGGGCACTTCGTAGCCGTAGAGCTGCAGGGCGCCCAGGAACTGATTGAAGCGAAGGCGAGGGTGACCAGTGACTTGAGCCACGCCAATCGGGGTGCAAGGGGGCTGGAAGGCGGCCGCAATGACAACGCGAGCAACGTGGTCAACGGGCACCATATTGACGGTATTGTTGATGTTGGGGCGGGCAGAGAGCTGAATACAGCCCTTGATCATGCGGATGAGGAAGTCGTCGGTGTTGGTAGTTCCGGTCTGGGAGTCACCAAGGACGTAGCCAGGACGCACGACGGTACCCTTGAGACCGCGGCGACCAGCTTCCCGCACGAGATATTCGCCTGCCCACTTGCTCTGACCATAGCCGGTTCCAAGGCCGACGCTGCTACCCTCGAGGTCGTCGGCCTCGCTGATACCAGCTCCGCCCTCGGCAACGATCCGCTCAGATTCCAAGACATAGTGGTCGCTGTCGAGGGTACTGGTCGAACTGACGAAGGAGAATTGCTTGGGCTTGCCGCTGGCGCAGAGCTTGAGGGCGTCAATGGTACCCAGCACATTGGCCGGCTTGAGGGTGGAGTAGGGGTACACCCAGTGAACCAGAGCACCGTTGTGAATGACAGCATCCACACGCTGGGTCAGGTCCTCCCAAAGAGCGTCGGAGAATCCGAACCGAGGCTCGCCCAGGTTACCGCACACGCACTGGAGCCGGCTAGTCCAGGCTTCATCCCAGAAACCGTACGCCTGGCAAGTAGAGCGAATGCGGCCGAGCGCCTGCTCGTCTGTCTTGCCGCGCACCAAAGTCACAACCTTCGCCTGCGGTGACTTGCGGGTCAAGAGATCCCGAAGGATATGAGCACCCAAGAAACCAGTGGCACCCGTGAGAAAAATGGTGGGCTCGGATGCAAGAATAGGCTCGGTGCGAGTAGGGAACGAAGCGGGCAGAGTCTCTGCCAACTTGCGAGCATCCTTCGAGTATTCGTCATCGAGCTCAGCAGGAGCTGCGGGCTCTGCAGCAGCGGTCTTACGCTCGTCGTTGCTAGCGAACGACTCCAGGTTCAGCAGACGGTCGATCTCGGCAGCGAAGCCCCTGAGGGTAGGGCTGCGGAAAATGGAGTTCATGCTGACATCGATCTCGCGCCACTTGCGTCGAACGTCGAAGAACATCTGCTGAGCCAAGATACTGTGACCTCCCAAATCGAAGAACGAGTCATCGGGGCTAATCATACGAGCGGTCACATTAGGAATGCGCTGGCCCCAGATTGAGGCCACGGCCTGCTCCGTCTCGCTGAGGGCTTGCGCCACCGAGGACTTGCGCCGAGGCGCGGCGGCACTGAGCTCTGCAGTATCAGGGAAGGGCAATGCGGGCTTGTCGATCTTGCCGTTGG